AATTCTTCACCATGAGGGCAGTAAGGCACTGGAAGAGGTTGCCCAGGGAGGTTGTGGAATTCACCCTCACGGATTGCACAAAGGGGCAAAGAGCTGTTCAGGGGCATGCTGCACAGGCTGGTGTTTCAGCAAGAGAAGGGAATCAGAGGAAATACAGAAACTACTCCATGTAACTTGCGTGTATATGTGTGTATTTATGCATATATATATGTGTATGTAATATTTATAAAACACAAAATGGGAAACTGGGAGTTTCTATCCAGTTTTTACCATGGGACAAGAAGAAGAAAACATCAGGTTGATGGTATCCAGTGTAAAACTGAGGATCCTGCTCTGCCCAGGGCTGAGCAATGCCCTCCAGCCAGGCTGCAGGGGGGTCACATACTGACCGAAGGCTTCTCTGCACAGAGACAGTTCAGGCTCAGAAAGAGCCACTGCCCGTGTTTTGCAACGGGTGCTAATTAACAGGGGTTATTTATCAGGGTGGCTTAGGGACACCTGTGCTCTGGAGGGTTCGAAGCAGCCAGCACGGGTCAGCCCTGGGGGCAGATGGAGAGAGCCAGAGCAGCTGCTGAGCTGCTGCTCCTCACCCTGCAGGGACTAGCAGGTCGGTGCTGCTCCCACCTGCCCCTGCCCATTCCCCTAGACATGCAGAACACCCTCCTGCCTCATTTCCTACAGACATCCCACATTCCAACAGCTGCCCCCAGGAAAGCCCCGACCCTTTCCCACAGACTTCGTGGTCCTGCCCCAGTTCCAGCAGTCCTCCCACAGCATTCCCAGTTTCCTCTGATGCCCTCAGTGCTGTCAGAGCCAGAGTGGGCAAGGGCTCCTCCAAGAGACAGGCTGGCCACAGAACCCACAGTGGCTGCAGCAGGACCAGCAGTGGCTGCAGCAGGACCTGCAGTGGCTGCAGCAGGACCTGCAGTGGCTGGCACCCCCACCCTTCACTCAGATCCTGGCCTCGGTCTCCCTCCTTTGCCCAGCCTCAGCAAGCAGGACTTCTGCCAGTCTGGGATGGAGGTAGATGGAGGTTGCATGCACGTTTGGCAGACACGGATGTGGGCAGACAAGACTCCAGCATTAGCATCCTTATCCCTCCAGGGAGGGAGGGGATGTGTGCCAGCAGACAATCCCAGCACCCCTGCACTGCGAGGCAGGGACTGAGACTGAGCTTCCATGCCCAAAGAACCAGCATCGGGTGCTCTCACCACCTCCCTCCATCTTCCTGGCTCAAAACACAAAAGGGCTTTGAAACATTGGACCATTTTAATTTGCACCATGTCTGGATATGTGAGCCAGGTTCCTGCAGCCCTCAGGGAAGAGGTGGACCACAGAGGGCCAGGAACTCACCAGCATCCCATGGAGGAAAGGGCTGCATCACATACTCTGGTCTTGCCAGGCACCAGATCAGTGCCCTCATCCCCAGGGAACGCTTCAGTGAGACAGCTCCTTTGACACCAAATGCAGTCATCCACGAGGCAGAAACTCAGAGGGAATCAAGCTCCATTTGTTCCTGTGCTCACAAAACTCCTTCCTTTTTAAAACAACACAGAAAATTCCATGACCCGTGGCTCTGATGGGGCAGCCCAGGGGAGGAAGCTGAGGGCGTCAGGAGCCAGCGCCAAGTGATCCCGTTTGTGCTCAGCCTGACCACACAGTTTGGACCCCTGCAGGAGCTGAGGAGGGGGGCAGCTCAGGGGGTCCTGTGTGTGTGAATACCTGGTGGAGGATGGAATGTGCTGGAGCCAGGCTCTTGCCAGCAGTGCCCAGCAACAGAGCAATGATGCTCATTGAGGCACAGCAAATTCATCTGAAACAGAAGAAAAACGTTCTTTCACTCTGTGGGTGGCTGAACACTGGAACCTGTTGCCCAAAGGAGCTGTGGAGCCTCCATCCATGGAGATACCTGCATCCCCTTTGGAGATACCCCAGTCCCAGCTGGATGTGGACGCAGGCAGCCAGCTCCTGGTGACCCTGCTTTGAGCAGGGGGGTCGGACACGGTGACCTCGGGTGGTGCCTCCATCCCCAGGGCCCTGTGGCTCTGAGCTGCTTCCTGCTGGGGGGCAGTGCAGGAGCCAGAGAGCTCCCTGCCCGGGCGGGCTGTGTCCTGTGAAGCAAACCAACACACAGGGCTGGGCTGGCACAAGCAGGTGTGATGCCAAAGGACATTGTGACCACTCTATGCCAGTGATGTCATCCAAAGGAGCAGGGCTGAGTCTGTGAGCAAAATATTCCCAGGAATGGCATGAGAGCCTGGCTTCATCCCACTGGAGCTGACTGCACCTAGGGAGCCTCGTTCCCTTGTCCTTGTCTGGGTCCTGCTGTCACGAGCTCTTGCACTGATTTCCTGAGACATCTCAGCCCATGCAGGGGGTGTGTTTGCTGCACAGGACCTGCCAAGCCCAAGAGGTGGTGACAGCCATAGCACAGGGAAAGGGTTTCTGCATATTTATAGTGACGCTTGGAGTCTGAAGCCACCCAACTGAGGAGGCAGTTCACAGGTGCTCTGTGCAATTCACTGTAATGATGAAACCACGTTCTGTCAGAGCTGCATGTGCTGTTTCCCAGGTAAACCTGCTCTGGGGGCCTCTGATTTGCTCATGCTGGTGCCACTGGAAGAACTGGGTGGGAATCCATAACTTCCAATGCTCCAGCAGCACAAGGCATCAGAAGCACAGGGAATTGGCAGCATGGGGAATGGGCAGGACAAGGCTCCAGCAGCTGCAGCACACTCTCCCAAACATGTGGCATTGCCACATTAGCCAGGACGAGCTGGGATGAGATGGGGAGGGCAGCAGGAAGGGGAAAAGGAAAGCCCTGGCAGTCACTGTGCAGTGAGATTAGCACAGGACTGTCATGCTGGAGAGCATATACTCCTGACACAAATCTTTACGTGATCAGGGAAGGGGGTGAGATGACAGCTGTAATCATAACCACACTCAGTATAATAAAATAAACTTTAAAGCAATTATTAAAAATTGAAATGGATTCTGCTGGCATAATCTGACAACACACTGATGGGGGAGCAGACATGCATCACAATAAAGGAAAATCCCACCAGTAGAGCAGTCTTGTTAGATAAGGTGGTACCTCATATAGCTCAGATGTTTCATGAAGTCCCTGTCCCCAGGTTCGCTGTAAAACTGCCACTGAGATCAGACTGTTGTGCACTCAGGCTCCCTTCAGCCCCCTCATTAAAGCTTCCACCAGATAACAAAGGCCAGATCTCCCAGGACCCATCGGGGACAGACCCTTGGTTGTCCCAGCAGGGCACAGAGAGCCGTGGTGACCCAGTCAGGCTCTAGTCTTGCCTCAACCCCATGGGACTCACTGGCCTGGGCTCTGCCAGTGGAGCCTCCTCTGAAAACCCAAAAGCTCTGTGGGGAGTGAGCTGAGAGTCATCCCCCACTCCTGCCTGCCTCCAGCCTTGGAGCACCACCTGTGGAGCAGCAGAAGGAATCCTGGACAGATATTCTGGGGGATTAAATTCTACTTTCATTCTTTCAGTGGGTGTGTTTTCTTTACTGGTCTGACTCTGGACTCATTCACAATGACAATACACCAGTTTTACCCCACCCCCCTATATAAGCTCATGTCTTCTTTTTGTGTTTTAGGTTTTCTCCCCCACTCCTATATCTAGCTGTTCGTTTTTTTATCATAAAGCAGATTCAGATCAGGTATCCAGCAACTTTAAACCAGGTCAATAACAAGCAAAGTCTATTTAGCACTGGGAGAATCTTTACTCTGCCTATCTCTGGCCTTTAGAAACCTCCCAAAGTACTCACTGGAGGCTCTGAGGTGGAAAATGTCATCCTAAAACAACACCCCGTACCTGTAGCATCTCTTGCTGACTAGAGGTGGCAATCCTCTGTCAATGGAACTGAAGCAACCAGCTCAGTCCAGACCCCTGCTGTGGGGTGTCGAGTCTCTTCCAGGAGCTGAGCAGGAGGCCTTCAGGAGATGCATGCTGTTCCTGGAGATGCAAGTTGGGAGGCTCAAAGCTCTTGGCTGGCATGTTCTTACTCGTGCTGTGGAGCAGGTATATGCTGCTGAGAGACAGGTTGGGTCTCACAGGGTGTATGACTGTGAGGCCTCCATACCTCCTTGTCCAGTAGGGAGAGAGTGAAAGAGATCAGAGCTTATAAAACAGTCCTGGTCAAGGACCAGGTTGGGTGACCACAGAAGAACACAATCCAGGAGGACCTGTCTCCCCGTGTGCTGGTCGAGAAACCCACAATCTCCAACCAAAAGTGGTGCAAATCACCACCAACCCAACTGCAATGACGCTGGCACAGAGCCATGGCTAAAAACTGGTTGATGTAGATCCAGCCCCACCTTGCTTACCTAGATTAATAGGCCCTTTGCTGAGGACATTCTGTAGCATTACCCCTTACAGCACTGCAGTGGTACTTCTTGCCTGGAATTCTCACAGTGGCAATGGGAAGAGTTTGGTGTCACAGTTTGTGGTATTTGGCTGTAGCCACTCTGCCAGTTCTGGAGAAGACACCAGGGCTCACAGGTCACACCTGGTGTTGCACAGAATTTCAAAGAAGTCAGAAGGAACCCAAATAAATGTATGCAAATATATATATACTCATATATATGTGTGTATTTGCATGTATCCCCATTCACAGGATGGTGTCCCTGGAGCCAGGTGCTGCTTGTCACCTGTACTTAACTCACTGTCCCTCTGTCCGTCCTTCCACTCTGCTAAGCCACCAACACGTGTATCTGTAGGGATCCAGCCAGGTTTTATCAAAACACCATCTCAGGTTTACAAAAGCCTTATAAAAGCCCTTCAGGCAGGGCTGGAGCAGGCAGGTGGGTTGGCAGCAGGAGGGCTCTGGGTGCAGACACAGTGGGCAGGGCTCCCAGCCACCCACCAGTGCTCCATTTCCTGGGATTTGTCTCCACCTCACATCCAGTGGAGCTACTGATCTCCAAGCGCCCAGGGAAAGGCCTGCACTCCTGCTCCATGATGCTTGCACCCAGCAGGATGCCCAGCTCCAGGTGAGGCAGTTGGGGTGCCCACAGACCCCTCCCCAGGGCAATGGCTGCAGGGCTGACAGCTGTCACCTCTTGCAGCCAGCACTGGGACCTGGGGACATCGGTCCTGTGCAAGCCTACAGTGGCACATGGGCCTTGTCTTCGAGGGGGACCCCCCAGCAGCCCCTGCATGGGGCAGAGATTTTGCTGGCTCCTGTGTCTGGGTGCTGCCAGGAGCGACAATGCTGTGGGAAGTCTCCTCTGGGGAGGAGGTGGTGGCAGGGAACTGGGGGCCAGCTCTCCCCCAGCCACCACACCAGCCCGGTCTCAGAGAAGCTGCAGCTCTCTGCGTGTGGCAGAGCTCTCTGCAAGGGGAAACCCACTTGAACTTCATGGCAATCTACCATGTGTTCTCAGGAGCTGGTCCAACCACAGCCCCAGGTCACACCTTAACCCAGAGCGGGAAAGGGGAACATCAGTGGGATCGGAAGTCGCAGAGGGGCTGCCC